TACAGTATCTTCAAGGGATGTATGTACACCCATGGATGCAAGTAACCTTTTTCATGGCTATACCTTTCCTAAATCAATAACCCTACCAGGGGCCGTGGAGACAACAATAAGAAGAAGAAGAGGTAAACAACACTCTGAGAAGAAGGGATCCTAGAGATAGGGAGACACCTCAAGAGATGTACATCCTGTCATACTATGAGAATATAGACGTTGCTTCAGATGTAATTTGCTAGTAAGACTTTTTGTTATGCATAATTGCTCTAATTTTAATCAATGCAGGGGTTGACTTCTCTTTCAAAACGTCCTAAAGAATATTATTGGAAATATGAAGATGTATTTGAGATAAGGCATTTTGATCCCTCCATTGTTTTTCCTCCATATTTCAAGTTGTGGGCATCTTTTCAAATCTCAACTATGCGTCGTCAAAATCCATCTAAACGGGTGCTGCTCCCATATTTACCTACCACAAAGAGAATGTTATATTGCGATCTAATAGCAGAATATCATAAATCATTGTTGCTATCACGAAAAACCTCGATCTTCCCAAGAATTTCAACACCAAAAGCTCTGATACTAATTGTTAAGGAAACTGGAATACTATGATACCAATTTGGTGTGAAAAGATAAGAGATTAAGTACAATATGAAGTAAGTAAATATCACAAGAACACAAGAATAATTTATAAAGAATGAAGATTTTATTATAATATGGAGAAAGAATACAAAGATTATATGTTTACAATATTTCTGACTTTTTTAAAATCATAATGAAGAACTAACTATGTATAGGAAATAAATAGGGGACGTCCAAACTCTTATAGTAGAACTGTAGATGAAATAGAATGCAAAAACGAAGTTCAAAACAGAAAAATGAGACCAAAATAGTGAAGAGGGCGGAACAGGTGGCATCGCAGCGCCTTGCTGTTAATATTTGCGGCTGCGACGCCTAGGCACCTCGTCTCCGACCCAAACTCCTTCCAATAATTTTTTCTTTATTCCTAAGTTTTCTTTAAATCCAACAAAAATTACTACTCCCAATGAGCTTTCAAGTAGAATTTCAATTAGAATTTACTAATAAAATTTGAATAAGATTTCACAATTGCATTCCAAATAGGATTCTAATTAATGTGCCCTTTAATTAAAATTCCAAATTATCTTGGACAAAGAATTCGGGTCACACCCAAATTCTAACACAAAGAGACACAACAGTCCTATGATGATAATGATAATGCCTCCTCACACTATTTTTGTGTCGTCTTCCCAACCAACTTTCCACAGCCTAAATCTCATTTTTTTGTACCCAAAATGCAACCATTTTGTTAGATTGTGTAATGTAAATTGTGGCTCTTGTAACTTTGGATTCTCACGAGGGAACAACAATATTATTTCTTATCCCTCGTTTAGGTTTTGATACATGTAACTGAGACAATTTTCTTCCACTTTTTATCTTGACCGTGGTTTGCAATGAGTTGCATTTAAAAATGTGACTGGTTTGCTTCAAAAAATTTATAAGCTCAAAATAAAAATAAAAAATCCTTTTTTGTTCGACTCTGCTGCTCAGGTCCTGGTTTAAAATTATCTACTTTTCAAGCAAACAACAAATAAATATAGTACGATGTTTTCACGCTTTAAAGATTCCATTCCCATCAGCAAGCCCAAATAAATTTTAACCTTGAAGCAGTTCTCTTTCTTATTATTCTGGAAAATCATGTAAAATACAAAGAAGTTGAATCTATTGAGAGGTATATAGCAAAGTTAATGGTAAAGGAATACACACAAACATATGAGATTGATTACCTGGAGATTTGCTGCAGTGACAAAGATGAATAACAAGTGGCGGATCCAAAATTTTGGTGAGCACGAGTAGTCACTAGACGACCGCTTGAGTGGCCACCCAATATGAGGAAAAAGAAATTCGACTAAGCCAGCACGGGCGATCACAAAGAGCTTGTTGGGTGCTAGCCAGAGATGGAGATAGGAGGCGGAGGCGGAGGCGGGGGCGGGGGGGCGACTGCCCCCAACATTGTCCGTTGCTCCACTAATCCTATTTAATTTGTAATGTATTTTTCAGTCCCTCCCCCCGCAAAAATTTTGACTTGCTCCCGCAAAATTTTGAAAATTTTTTTTCCATTAAAAAATATTGACCAAATAACATACACTTTAAAAATCAAGCATACAAAAATATTAGACCTAAACAAAAGATCCAATAGTAACTTAAATAAATAAATAGTCTAAATCCAATCCTATAGCAAATGACCCATTTATGAATCAATTA